AAACGGGTTTGATTTAGGCATTTGTAAAGGTTTCAAAGACAGAGGTTATGAAATATTCTCATCTACTTTCACAGCCATATATTACCCTAATCTATCAATACATTCTTAGCGCCTGATGGCTCCAAAATGTAAGAAGTCAGCACTTGTGATAAATTCACAACCTCTGACCGTGTGTCACAAGCCCCAGAGGAAAAGCAAGCTTGATGAATTGAACTCCCCTGAACCTTGAGTTCAAAATGTCCCCTATCTCTGTTCAATAGTTTAATAAGATTTTAATTAGGCAATTAAAAGTCTTTGGAATAGCATATGGTCATAATTATTGCTGTATGGTTCACTCAGGGATGAATGAGCCATTAATTACTCTTTGCTGGGTCTGGGGATTGGGCTTAAAATGGGTCGAGTTGGACAGAGAGGGTATTTCTTCACACTTCACAGTCACTTCATCAGAAATACAGACCTCTGAATTCCCATTAGCTGGGGAACCGGGCCGGGTTACACCGGCTATTCTTAAATCCATTACTGAGTTTGTGCGTAAAGTCCTTCCTAAGTTTTTCATAGCTACTAGCAAGTATTACATTGGCAAAATTAAATGTGTTATAATAGAGACTTCAGTATTAAGAACATTTCTTGCTCGGAAATAATTTAAACAATTTAAAAAGAAATCAAGTCACCTATTAACGAGCGCAAAGCATAAAGTCATCATCAATAAACTTAACTTCCAATCCTTGGTCAGTTGAGGTATCACTTTGAATCTGAATCTATAGATTCATATATTTTTCTGAATTATTAATATTTATAACATTTTAGGGTGAGTAGGAAATATCAGATTTTGTTTAACTAGTGGATTTGGTCATTGTCTGTTTTTTGCATGATGTATTCCCAGTTTACAACAAGAAATTGTGTGAAGTTTTATGTGCAGACATTATTTTAGATGACACTAAAGTCTACACCAATCATACGTTTATTCGCAAGCCACCTGTAGTTTGGCAGTAAGTCAAATAAGCTATGTAGCAGTTACACCTGAAAGTTACTGGGAAATAATTAGCAACATTTCCTGAGAATGAATCTCTAGGAAATAACTAGTGGTTGTTTTTTAATGTGGAGATGAGTATATACTGAGTTATTCTAACGTACCTTTAGTGGCTGTGATTTGTCACTGTGACGGAAGTGCTGTAATGTCTTACTCATAGATGGGTATATTTAGATCTGGACGAGTTGTTGAGATAAACCTGAGAGGCTGTAGAAACGGTGTCCACACTGTACTCCCACACCACTCACCTAGTGAATCAGTCTCTCTTTGCATATGTGCCGGCGTGCTCCTCCATGTGAGGCCTCTCATAACAGATGATGTCCTCCACGTTGCACATCTGCTCCTTCACCTCCGAGAGCCCTTAAGCAGCGTGGAGGTGTCGAGTCAGGTTGAAGGCCACATCTGGGAGCATGTGACCTGAGTTGTCAGAGGTTGTGTTTGTGTTTGTGTGTGTGTGTACAGGTGGCTTGCTGAGATGACAGGCATGCCAAGAAGTCGTATTTTCTAGTCAACAGGCTGTGCGGGGCATCCAGGGAGCCTTGACCCCTCCTCCTCTAGTCGGATGGCAAATGCTAATGTTGCTGCCACCTGTTACAGCAGCATACGCAGGGATGCTATTTATAATGCCCACACAGTCTTATGAGTAGTGCTGTCAATGGTCAGTCTTTGCCATTCAGTGATATAAATGGAAAGCTGACTGTATACCAGGAGCTGGATTACAGGAAATGACTGATAAAGACTGCTGGGAATTCCCAGTTTGGTTAAATCTAAAACGCATTTCCTCTTTGTTGACATGCTGTACTCTACTGTGAAGAACTGTTACAGTGTTGAAAGATTAATGTTCCAGTACAGGAAATGCTCATTACTTTTAAAGTTTTATGAAGTGAATTTGACTCTGCACCATGTTGAACTGAGTTGAACTAAGTTTCGTTTTGACAGAGTTGCCTATTCATGGGACTTTTATTCTTATAAGTTATAACAACCACATGTGTGATTCAGGTGTTATTTCCCAAGCAGAGTCTCTTACTTCTCTTTTACATTTCTGTTCCCTTCCTTACTTCATGAGCTGTCAAAACTATTGCTGATACTTATATGGATCATGGGCTTGTGAGCAAATCCCATATGTCAAAAAGTGACAACTTTTGTGCCACTTATTTCCTACCCAAAAGCTCAACACTCAGTTTCAAACTTCAGTCTCTACTAGGGAAGTCCTAATTTGTCAGCTACACACACATTTCCTTTCCAGGCTTGATAATCTGGGTAAAGGAAATCCTTATTTGGTACGATTAGTAATACAATCTTCAGTTATTATAACCCATCACTTACAGCAACATGAAGCTTTGTCAGCAATGGTTAGTGCCCGGTAAACTTCTTTGCCATCAATGAATGCTTTCATTATGTGTCAATTGCCTTCAATGATGAATTAGTAGTTTATGCATGGTGTAAAATAGCATTCACTCAGTCTGATCAAAGTACCTGAGTCTTTATTCTGTCCTCCCACCAAACAAAACCTTTTATTAGACCCTCAATTTTTAATGATCTGTTTTAAAAGTTTGATGTGCGCAATGATTATGTCAAACCCATCTGATAAGGCAGATATGTTGCTAGAGGGGATATAGAAAAGAGACTAAGGCTAGATTTAAGAGGAGATCATAGACAGAAGGATGGGAGAGTATCATCCAGAACCAGAGCACACTATCAGGTCTGTGTAGGGAGTGAAAGGGAGGATTCATTTTATGCATCATGCAGGAGAGAGCAGTGAAGTGCAGAGTTGCATATAGATTTCTGAGCTGTCAGAGGGGCCCTTGTTCTCTCACTCATGCTGAGTCGAGCTCTCTCTACGTTCCTAAGATGGATTTGGAATCATGCATGCAGGGCTCTTCTTCAGACTGTCACACAAACCCAGAATTAATGTTACCTTCACGAGTGGTGTATCTCTTTCAATTGTTCCACACAATGGAGGCTAATGATGCGTAAGGCCGCCCTGCTTTTCGATAACATGTTACAGTCCACTGACATGACTTGTCAGCTGCTGGCAGGGGGCATTGACCCAAAGATTTCAGAAGGTGACACATCCCGGAGTTAAATAAGCAGAAGCTCATAACCTCGTCTGCTTTTTGTCATCGCGGTAATTAAGAGCCATCGTCCAGCTGCTGTAGGTGGAACATCTTCAACCCAGACATCCTTGATTATATTTCCTTTTACTAATTTTACTCTAACTTTGCACCCGTGGTACGAGAAGTGATGGATTACGATGTATTAGCTCTATTTTAATTTGTTCAGACTTTAAATCAAACCGTTCGATGAGCCTATTTCAGACAACTTTACTTCGTTCGGGGAAAAATACTCAATTTTGTGCTTTGTTTTATTCATTTTAAACCACCTTTTTGGAACTAAATCCACAGAATAAAGCATGCGTGAATATATCATATTCATGTATTGTGTGTGTCTGTTCTCTTCCTGCTCTTTCAAATGTCATCTTCCCAGCTCAGATTTGAAGATGTCTATGTTTGCAACAAGCGTCAGACTGCTTATTGACTAAGAGTCAGGAGCCCCTTGATAGAAACCAGAAATAGCTTCCCTTGCTATCTGTTGCTATTGATTGCAATAGCTCACATGAAACTGAATCTCCTGCTGGTTGCATTTAATGAGGAGCTCCCTGTGGCAGCTGTAATAGAGCGTTTGCAGTTGTAAGTGGCATGTCCGTATTGAATTCCCTTTCATGCCTCACTACGTCCAGTTAATCAGCGTTATTGGTATGATGGTTGTCTTGTGGCTTTGTTCTCAGGTTTTCTTAAGAGTTGTTGTAGACATTGTGGATAAGGGTTTTCTAGTGAAAGTGGCAAAGACAGTAAAACATATTTAATTGTGGTGATCTGTATTGATTTATAGAGGGTACAGTAAAACTATGTAAATATTTAACCAATATGGCTTTCGAAACTTATCTCCATAAATTCCTCGCTGAACTACGAGCAGGCAGAACTAAAACCCTCTGACCTGTAGGAATCAAAACACTTAAAGTATCTGTGAGTACAATGAACAAACACAATCTCACCATTAAGTCATGTCAACCAAAGTTCAACTAAGGAGAACTGTGGGCGAGAAACTCTAAACTGTAATTCCTGTAATATGAGTTTACAGGGGTGTCACCCCTTTTCATTGTTTTGCAAGCTTTAACAAAGATTTATCAATAAATCTCTCCCTCCTGTTCTCTCCTGTGCATTGCACAATAGAGCAGGTCCGAGCAGTTCAGATATAGAGATCTGGGAGTGTTAGGTTGTTTGTGAATAGCTGACACTATTAAATGAACCTGACCTGAGCATTGTGCTCAAACACGTCATCTATCAAGGCTCTTTCGTGTAGTATTCTGTTAATGATCACCACACTGATAACACTATAATCCTCTGAACAGAAACAAAAGCAAAACCTCAGATCAGTGTGCTCAGGGGTCAGCTTTAGCCAAATACATGGAGAAAGTACATATCTTGTCCTTTAACACATTTTCAAATGAAATGTTGCATGATTGTTTTGTAGCCTTAATGTTTTTGTTGTCAAGATAGAGACTTTGCCCTGTGTCAATGGCATGTTCTTAAAGAAGTGCTTGTATCATTGAATCACAGCTGTTATTGTACAGGCTGGTGTGTAAAATACACTGATTATAGGTAACCAACGATCAACTAACAATAATTGTAATTATTGATCTACAATCATGTTTTTTTTTTATGGAATCTGATTTTTTTTTAAAAACCCCACAATATAGTTACCTCATTTCTCAAAAGCGACATCTTAAATCGTTTTTGTATGGTTGTTCAAAGTTGCTAATGCATATGACAGAGAAAATCAGCAAAATAAACCAAAGTCTTAATAACTGTTAAATCACATTATCCACCTGCCTTCCAGGCCAATACAAAACCCCAGCAATGTGCTTATACATGACACTAAATTGAATATTGTTTCTTCTTATTCACAGATCTCAGCTGAGACCCGGCGGTGCTGCGTTTGCATGGAGGCTGATCGGTGGAGACTTTCCGTCTTGTTCTGAGGTCACAGATTGTTTTTATAAACCAGCATCACCTTCTGCAGGCCCAAAAAAGTGCCCCGACTCTACCACAGTGCACAGGCTTTACATTGAAGGAGCTTGGAGCTACAGGAAAAGAGAGAGAGAAAATAAACACAGCTTTTAAAAAGACGCTCTTCATGAATTCCCCAAAAACCTGAAAAGCAAATACTGCAAGTTGGCTGGCGGTCCTGAGGAGGCATGTGGACAATGAGCATGGCTTGGCTCTGTGTCCCAGCCTACACTGTCCTCCTTGTTGGTTGCTTTCATACAGCTGTCACGGAAAGTGATGTCACTCCACGCCTCGCCTTCTCCTACAGTAAGTTTTATTAACTTCTAAACTATAGAATTACAGATTATATTGCAGTAAGGGTGATGTGAGCTTTAATGGTGCCTGGGGGTCCAGTTTAGGCTTTTTAAGATCCTTCCTCATGAACAGTAGCACTTGGCAAACTTGTTTTTTCTTGAGCTCTTTGGTTAAGCTCCAATGAATCAAAACAGGTCAAAGGTAAAACTTGACACAACTCCATAATCTAGGAATTTGTATATCGCACGAACAGTCAAAAGAAACAGCAGCTATTGAGTAGTTATGGATTATAACAAAGTGGACAACACGTTTCCTACTCTAACATCCTGCCTTCAAGACTGATTATGTAATTCCCAGTGGTGTCCCTGTTCATTTAGTCAGTTCAGTGAAACGAATCAATACACTTCATATGTGTCCATTGTAAGAGCTAAAAGGATTTAGGTGAAATGTTGTTTGTCTCCAGCATAATGACTTAAAATCCATGTAAATCCGCACTGTGAATGGCAGCTCCATCGGGGTGGCTCTGTCAAGTACCTACAGGTCAGACATAATTACAAAATGAACAGGCCTATTGTGCCCAGACTTACCGAAGGCAGTGTGACGAGTTGTTTTTTCTTATATATCCTAATCTTTTTTTCTTTTTTTCTTGCAACATTTTTTTACACCCTCCATCTTCCTCCAAAATAAACAAAAAAAATGTGTAAATGTTTCCCCTTCGAAATACGTTGGGGATTATGTTCAATTAGACTTTCGTGCTGGTCTTTTGTGCATCAATATTTTCTGTGCTCTCTTAGACGTAGATGGTGCCATGGCCACTAGTGCCAAGAAATATCATTATCATCATTACTGAAATGATGTACCAATGTCAAGTTGGATTTAAACGTGAATTGTGCTTTGGCATGTCAATAGAATAATGAAACAATATGATGGATTATGAAATCAATGCCGGCTTTCAATGATTAAACTGCGTTTACTGACTCATGTTCAGGCATCATTAGAGTCTTAATGTCAGGGAGGTTTCCGTTGATTGATCTCTCTTACTAATCTATTATAGACATGGATAACATTTTCAGTATGGTGCTAATTTTGAGCCAGGCAAGCTTTCAAGTAGGTCCTCCATCTTTCCTGTCTGAGCCTGTGCATTCCCTCATGTTGGACCTCTATACCAACAGGTAATCTCTCTCACCTGCCAGCCTCAACAAAGCCCACAGCCCGGGCCCTGGTGGAGCGTTTCTCAACAACACACCATAAATCGCTCACTGAAAAGAAGCTTCGCGTTCACACTTCTCCCTGTTTTGATGGAAAGATTTGCTTTTAGGGTGTGTAGCCAATGTTAACACCACCATAAAACGTGCAAAACCCCTTTGTCAGAAGCCTAGTATACTAGACTAACTAGAGGGTATAGATGTGGTATTGATTTAGTATAGCTGAGGCTAAGCAAGGAAGGAGCGAACCATCAGCTTGTTGTAATAGCATTTATGTCGCTGTAACATTAACCACATTGATAAGCTTTGACCTTTCCATGGGGGTGGGGTCATTGAGGAAATAACACAGCTTTAACAACTGAGGTAGTTAGGAGCCAGGGAGTGATTTTATCAGGTAATCTGACCTGGTCTTTACGCGGTTAAGTGCTCATAGTAACTTTGAACGTATTAGCAGTGCTGTAAGATGCAATCTGATCTTTTACTGATGTAAAAGTACGAATACCTCACTTGAAAAAGTGAAAATACTCCACTTCAAGTAAAACTTATTGAAGTATTATCTCCAAAATGCATTTGTATATGTATTTTCCTCATATGTGTGTTAGGTTGCTGTACTGTGAGAACCGGGACATTTCATGAGCTCAAAAAACCTACTTGTGTCTTCAGTTTTGTGACAAAGCATTTCCCAGGTGGTCAAAGATGTTTTTTAAATAGTTTCTTGAGCTTAAGAAGTAGGAACATATTCTCAACCCAAAGCATAAGGGAACACTTCATCCTTCAAAACTGCAACAGAAACCAAAGCTACTTAGCTTTAAGCAAATATTGTGGAAAGAGAAGTACAACATTTCCCTCTGAAATATAGTGGACTCAAAGTATAACGCATGTACAAGTTAGTACAAGTAACTGCAATGTATCCTTAAGTGCAATAAATAAGTACTTTGTTCATTCCACCTCTGCACTAGCTGCCCGTATATTAAATCGGGCAATTATATCTAAAAAGACTGTAGTCCTTGTCAGATTTGATGCTTTAAAGACCATTTCTTAGGTTTCACAATGTGCTTTAAGGCCGATAAAACAAGCTTCATCCTGCTGATGAAGGTAAGCTGGGCCTGGTGATAGAAGATGTCTTTCTGTTTTAAAGGCAGTTCTGCTACACTGCATTTTCCAGCCTCCCTCAGAAGGGCTTTGTCACATTGTGTGTACTGTATCAAAGCAGAATGCAGAGCTGCTGGCCTCAGGGATCTGAACTTTTATACGGCAGAATCCGCCTGGTCTCGTCATGGTTTCTGGTCATCTGTCCTCTCTGGATGCCAGTTAGCTTGACGGTTTCCACGCCTCGGCAGTGTAAGCGGACGGGAGCTGCTTAACTGCTTCTCATCCTGTAAGACTTTTGGTGGAGCGACTTCTCCTCTGCTTCTCTCTTGCTCTCTGTGTCCCCTGGTCCCCGCCTCTGCCTTAATGAAGAGCCTAATCCCACATGAATAATGAATGGGGATTTGTATGTGTTATGGTGTGAACACTTGTCTGGTTCTCATTATGCGCCTATCAGGACGGATCATGGATTCAGGGAGTCGAGTCTGCATCTGCTTTTCTCTCCGCTTTTGTTCCAGTCTTTAATGCAGACCATGTTGAATGGCTTTGTGTGTTGGGACACCGTTTAAAGGCACACCTTTAAGCCGTTTATGTGCAGTGTGTTGATCCGTGTAGCCCTCAGTTAAACATGCCTGGGGACAGTGCTGCTTTAATTTTATTTACGAGTTATATTCAAAGCCATAATAGAAGCAAAGTCTTTTTTTTAAATTAAAAGGCCTTCATGTTCGGACCACACAAAACCACTCTCTAGTCATTCAAAATGACAAGATAACAGCTTTTCAATATTGTAGCCACATAGCTGAACAGCAGTTCTTGACGGTGTGCATGCTTCAACACACTTCACTAGATCACTTGTTAAATTCCTATTAAAGTGGAAAGTCATTGTAGCTGTCACAGATATTATTTGATGACTTGTTTGTTTTTTATTGTTTTGCTCAATTGAACAATATATTTGCAAAAGACAGAGACTTATCCGAATTCAACAGAGCCCAAACAATAACAATGATACAACAATAAGTGAATTATCTACTAATAGTAGAAAACACTTTTTCAACTAAAAATGTAAAGAAAATCTTCTAGATCCACCTTTAACATTTTATTTCTTGCTTTGTAAATTAAATATTAAAGTTAATATATCTTAGTTTTGGATCACAAATCAGTCAAAACTATTTATTAATAATTGGTTTTAAGAAAAATATTTGTAGTTTGTTAGCCAAACGTGGATTGCTTACTGCCAAATGGCTAATAAAAGTATTTCAATAAAAATGTAAAACAGAAAACAAAACCAAACCTACGTTATCCTTCAATTACTCAACCGTTCATTTTGCTACAAAACAGAAATGTAGATTGCATTTTAACAACTGTTTTAAAGATTCCACCTGTGAAAAATTATATTTATATTCAAACATGCAGTAGTAAATTCATCAGGTGAATATTTAACAATGCTGCACCATGTATTTTCTAATACTCAGTAATGGGCTGTTCTGTATCTGGAACCGACTGATCCCCATCTCAGTGATTGTTTTCAATCCATCATGAAATGACAGTTCATTGATCCTGATATTGCAGAAATGTAAGACACCCATCCTGTCTAATCCTCCACGCTTATTTTCAAGGTGTTGCGAGGACACTCCGAGTGTAAATACACACCATGGAGTCGGGTCAGTCAGGTCAGAGTGCTGCTGTACAGACAGAAACATGTTGTGACCTCTTGATGCTCTGCCTTGTTCAGACGAGAGGTTCATGGTGAGTTCCTGATAAACCCACAGCCGCTTTACATTATTGTGGATAATCCGAGGTCAGCTTGTGTTGCTCCCTGACCAAAAGATTGCCCAGTGTCAACCTCCTTCATGGGAAAATGGTCCTTTTAGAGCTGAGGTGCGGCCTCTTTTACAAACCACCAGTTTAATAGATTTGGAGGAAGGTGTTTCAACACTTAATTAGCTTCTATCCCCCTCAATAAATTGCAGCTCCAAATCCTGTTATAGCTCTTCCCTGCTGTGTGGATGCGTAATGCACATACTTCATCTCCACTCTTTACAATTTCCTAGGCATTTACAGTATGTGCACGATTTACAATATGACTTTCCAGCCTCTTGTTTCCTGAAGCTGTGTTAAAAATTGCCACCAATCTCAGCATCAGCATGGTGCAATGGAGACAATATCCTGCTAACAAGATGCAGCCCCGCCAGTTACCAATACAAACAGCAGGCTCACAGCTTGCCTAATGAATCTCCTGTTGAATTGACCCTCATGGCTTGCTGTCTTAATGCTTTCCAGATGCTTCAGTCTCTGTCCTTCAGCTTCCCAGATTTACTCTCCCACACAATTACCCATTCAGCAGCAGCTCTTAATAGCTATAGTTTAAAATGACTTGGGATAATTGAGTGAGCGCTCCGGTGTGGCCTGCTTTCTGTCTTGATGTCACCAGATATCCATGGCGTGGATCTGACGCCCACCCAATGAGATTCATTCACCCTCATTGCAGAGGGTCGTAATCCCTTTTTATGAAAGCAATTGGATTATTAGGGCTCATCTTTTCAATCTCGAAAGTCCTTGAAAAATTATAGATAAAAAAAGAGAAGGTTCCCTGGTGTCAGTTCACTCTGACTGTGCAGGTTCTTCCTTACAGCATTAATATATAATTTCTTTCCTAATACTTTATTGTCTCAAGTTTACTCTAATTTTGAGTTATCCCAGGTCATCTATTAATCCTCA